CCCCCCCTCGCTTCTCGGGCATTCTGCATTCGCAGGCCCGAGGAGAGTCAGCCCATATTCTGGAGAAAGAGATTCTCTCTCTCCTAGAAAAGAGGGCTATATCTATTGTACCCGCCGAGCAGAGTCAGGGCGGCTTCTATTCCAAGTACTTCCTCGTTCCCAAACGGGGAGGGAACGGAATTCGGCCAATACTTGATTTGAGGGCTCTGAACAAATATCTAAGAAGATATAAGTTCAAATGCTCACTCACACATCTCTGCTGCGGCTCGTGCGACAAGACGACTGGTTCACATCAGTCGACCTGAAAGATGCGTATTATCACATCCCAGTATATTACCCACACAGGAAATATCTGAGATTCGCATTTCAGGGGATCTGTTATGAATACAGAGTACTCCCCTTCGGTCTGTCTCTCAGTCCAAGGGTGTTTGTACGATGTACGGAAGCCGCGATAGCCCCGTTAAGACAACAGGGTATTTGCCTGGCGACCTACCTGGACGACTGGCTGCTTCTCGCACAGTCGGAGCAGGAGGCTGTTACGCAGACAAATGTCCTCGTAAAGCACCTGCTCAACCTGGGTTTCATAATAAACACAGAGAAGAGCATGTTGTGCCCCGCGCAGACTATACTCTTCCTGGGTTTACACTTGAACTCGGTGCCCTTTTCAGCTCGCTTGTCAGCGGATAGAGTGAAAGCTTTCAGAGCTTGTCTCACTCTTTTCCAGCTGCGCAAACATGTTCTCTTCAGATCATGCCTGCGATTGCTGGGGCTCATGGCGTCAACCATCCTGGTCGTACGACTGGGACGCTTACACATGAGGGAGTTTCAGCGCTGGGTGGCCGCCCTAAAACTAAACCCTGCGCGCCATGGCGCGCGGAGAGTGATGGTTACTGTGAAATGCGTAATGGCACTGCGCCACTGGCTGCACCCGACTTTTCTAGTACGAGGTGTGCCTATGGGTGCTGTCCTTTCACGGAAAGTGGTCACCACGGACGCATGTCTGACAGGTTGGGGAGGTATTTATGAAGGTCGCCCGGTGAGGGGTCTCTGGAGCAGAGACCTCCAGCGGGCACACATAAATTACCTGGAGCTTTTAGCGGTGTTTCTCACCCTAAAACGCTTTCTGCCTTTCCTCAGGGGACATCACGTCCTCGTGAGGACAGACAATACGACCACAATATCGTATATTAACCGCCAAGGGGGTTTGCGTTCTCTCCAGTTACACACACTGGCGCGCAAACTTATCCTATGGAGCGGTAGGCGTCTCCTCTCTCTGAGAGCGACGCACGTACCGGGAGTGAGGAACCTCGGGGCAGATCTACTGTCCAGAGGTATACCACTTTATGCAGACTGGACTCTACATCCAAGGATTGTGAGCCAGCTGTGGGTGCGTTACGGCAGAGCCGCGGTGGATCTGTTCGCATCGAAAGACAACGCTCAGTGTCAGCTGTTCTTTTCGACGCGCGATCTAAATGCACCGTTAGGCGTGGATGCACTCGCGCACAATTGGCCCCCGGGCCTTCTGTACGCGTTCCCACCCCTGGCTCTGATACCCCCAACTCTGGCCAGAGTGAGAGAGCAACGCCACACACTTATCCTGATAGCTCCGCACTGGCCAGCTATGTACTGGCTAGCGGAGATATATCAGCTGCTGTGCGGGCAGCCATGGCAGCTCCCACTACGCAGGGACATACTGTCCCAAGCGGGGGGGGCGATCTTTCACCCACACCCAGAGCGCTTGGCTCTATGGGCCTGGCCCGTGAGTGGTACAATCTAAATACAGTGTGACATGACGCTGACCCTGGCAGCTGCCAAGTGGTTGAAGCCTGACCCTGCCTTTATCTTAAGGCGGTTGGTTCGGGTACCACATTTGACATTAAGGCATCCTACCCGCCACTGTATTCCTCCGGGGAACAGCGGCCGGATTTGCCGTGTCCAGCCCGTGCTTTACGCACGTACAGGGACAGATCAAGGGTGCTTTGTCATAATGACCAACCCCTTGTGTCCTGGGCTAACCCTTATAAGGGCAAGCCTGTTACTAAGCAACGGCTCTCCCACTGGTCTGTGGAAGCAATTGCTTTGGGGCTCATACGAGTCAGAGTTCGCAGGCACCCTCGGGTCCGCGAGCTCTTTCGACTCAGAGTCTGGCTGCATTCTGGACTCTGTCCAGGATGTCTCCCATCAAAGACATTGGTGCAGCGGCGAGCTGGTCCTCGCCGCTCACTTTTGTCTGCCTCCTAACAGGCTGGACGTTCTGCTCCCAGTGTGACTCAAGCAGTGCTGGGCACCTTGTTGAGTCAGAGCTCTACCTGTTAAGTTCTGGTAGGTTTGGTGATTTTCGAGATAAGCTCGTCTGGCAATACGGGAGCTACAATTTCCCATAGTGAGACATCGAACGGAGTGTTATGAATGAGAACTATAGGTTACTTGCGTAACCCCAGTTCTCAGAGTAACATGAAGTGAGATGTCTCACCAGACGGCCCTCCTTGCTATGGTGAAGCGAGAAGAGGTGCTTATTTTGAATGGCGCATGCGTTGTGGCGCAAGCTACTTATAGGGGGTGATTTCCCTGACGCTGATGTCAAGATCTCCAGCCAATCAGGATTGGCGTAATGAGATTGATGCTTCTGTTTGCTCCGCGATGAGGCGCATCCCATAGTGAGACATCTCACTTCATGTTACTCTGAGAACTGGGGTTACGCAAGTAACCTATAGTTATGTGATGCTTTTCCACTCATCTTCCAGTTGTCGGTTTTCCTCTGTTGAAATCGACCAGCTGTGAAGGTGGGGGCGAGGCTTTTATATGCGAGTAGTGAAAACACTTCCGCGTAGTCTGCTCCCGTGTATCCTCCCTTTCGTCTCCTCCCGCACCCCTCCTCCCTCACCCCTCCTCGACTCCTCCGTGTGCATTTCAGCTATTGGGACGTCCTTCAAAATGGCGTGTCTTGATCGATTTCCGGGTCAAGTCCCGGAGGAGGGGAAGGGAGGAGTCGAGGAGGGGTATTGGGATGAGGCTCTTGCGTCTCTCCATGCTTCCCTGGTGGGAGGGACTAGTCGCAGGGAAACGACGCAAGTGAGGGACGCAAGGAATCCATTTAACCGAAGTGAAACGCAGCCCATGTCATGGGACCTTTAAAGTGTCCCAAAATGCACTACGCATTATTTCATGAGTAATATTTACTACACTGCCCAGCTGTTCTCAGATAAACTCTGAGCAAATTAAAATACTGAAACTACACATTTGTGAGTCATTAAAAAAAAAAAAACATATCTAAGGAAACATTATTTGGGACTGATTCCAACACAATCAAGGTAATATTTATTGTTTTGTTCTCTAAAGTAGGCCTAATCTAAATTGGAACAAGATGCAGGTTGCTGGGTTTTTATTTTTTCCGAACCATAAACATTTAAATTCACACTCACTTGCAGTAAGAAAAGAAAAGGAGTCTCTTGTGTTCACAGCATGAACTTTGACCATCATCTCAAGATTCTTCCAGTTGTGAAATGTATCTGTCAAGATCTGGGAAATATTTATTAATGTTTTCTTTTTCCTTCTTGGAAAGAGTATTGCAATACACGTGCAGTATACATGCTTAGATTGCCACACTTCCAGGCCATTAGGGGTAGAAAGTTCAACAAACTGATTTTTAAAACACAAATCACACAGTTTAATGATAAATCCGATTATATATTTTGAACACTGGTTGCCTGAAGGGTTTATAATTACTATGGGTTAAGCTAAAATATTAAGTTCAGGTTAAAGTTTAAGACGTTGTGGTTTTTAGTTGCCTCATTGAAAGCTTCAAAGGCACTGATCATCACAAGTTAGGATTTTTTTTCGAAGCACTTTATTTAGTATTGTTGTGCCTCTATTGTGTGACATTCAGTGGCACATCAATTTAAATGCAATAATCTCAGAATATGGCGTTTTGGGATGAGTAAGAACATCCAGGAGTCCCTCTCAACAGGTGTCAAGTATGAATTGTATCAGACTTCCTACAGTGTCATGTTAGCCAGGTGTTCTTTAAAACATCTGTGTTTTTAAAAGTTAAACAATTTTTTACAGATGAAATTCAACTAGCTATTTGTTTACTTTTGTTACAACTAGATTGAGATAGGATTAAACCCTCTAACCTCACAAAACACTACATGAAGCACCTAACAATGTACACTCGCTGGCCTCTTTATCAGGTACACCTCTACAATCTTTGCAAATCCTTTTACAAAACAAATCCATTTTATTGTATTGGTTAACACTGTCGTAGGCCATATGGGATATTGTTGTTGTTTGGGTTGTTGTTAATGTCAACAATTCTTAATCTTTAAACTTTGTAAAAAGTACAATTGATGGCAGTAATGTTGTATTGGATTGCATTAGATTTTGTCTTATGAGGCCGGTGAGTTTACGTTTTTATTAAACTAAAGGTTTTTGTTTACTTAGCAAACTGAAAATCCTGATACTACGAAGGGGTTACAATAATTAATCTAATCCAACATTATTCAATACAAAATACAGCCTTTTTGTAACCTTTCTGATGAATATGTTTTATAACTTCAAATGGGTTATAAAAACCCATTTGAAGTTATGTCTCCACAAGTCAACACTGGAGACATTTTGTTTTTTAACTCTTTAATGTAGTGCAGCTAAAATAATTAATGTAATAATATATTATAATCCTACTGTTTATTTCCAGGTTTTCCAGTGAGCAGGCAGTGCACATTTTCGTAACAATCACTTAACGTCTTATAAAACAAAGTATGACAGTAACTCTATGAGAACACAAGATTAGTTGGGTGTTAAACTAAGATGCATTACGCTGGTCACTGCACCTTCAGCCATTTAAGAGGAAGAACCTTCTTACATAACATGACCATCATGCTTCTAATGAGCTAGTACCACTAGCATTGGCAGTATGTGAATTGAGCTGCTAGTCTGGTGTCCTCTCCCCCCTGCCCCCTTACAATTCGATTAATTAATGGAGAAAATTGTTATCCAACCAGGTCTGAGGTGTGTGTGCCAGCTTTGCACCAACCACACCTGTGAGACGGCCGCAGACGGCGCCTGCTGGAACTCTGTGATGCTGATCGAGGGGAAGGAGGAGACGGTGAAGTCGTGCCTGTCTCCCTCGGAGATGAAGGGTCAGGTCTTCTGCTACAGCTCTCGAAATGTCTCCAAAAGGAACTGCTGCTTCACTGACTTCTGCAACAATGAGACTCTGCACCTGCAGCCAGGTACGGCCACCATGATGGTTCTGAAATGATGCAATCTTTGGTTGTCTTTAATGGATGAAGCCTATTTTAAAGGTCACCTATTATGCAAAATCCAATTGTTCATGTTTTTGTTACATACACATGTGTCCCCTCTGTTTAAAGAGATTCTGAAAGTTTCAGAAAAAAAGATTCGCTCACTTTTTGTCCTGATTCATTTATATAAAAACCTGTCTGAAAATGAGCTGATCAGATTTTGGCCACTTTATGATGTCGTAACGATTTGTTAGAGCACCATTGTGGTTTTTTTTAACCTAATATCTCACAGAGGGGCATTGGGAGTGGCTCCTTATTTTCATCTACAGTAACAGACCCAGAATCAGCACTTTTGAAAGGGGGGTTTATGGGATGCTACAATGGGTGATCTGTTTGGTATTTGGAACCAATAACTTCAGAGACATGTTTTGTATATATCTGAGACCTATAATATATTGATGAAAAACAGTATAATAGGGGACCTTTAAAACCATAAAGATTTTACCTGAAGTTGGAAAGAAAAAATGAGACAGAAATAATAGATAAATAATTCCCTCAGACAGTGACTCGGATGACGTCATATTTCTCGATTGTTTTTTCGACAACAGCAGCACAACACCACCCCCCCCCCCCCCCCCCCTCTTCCCAATCTGTGTTGGATTTCCCAGTTATTCCAGCCCTGGCTAGACAATGTGGATGCTGATCCGACTAGATTCTGTGACATAACAAAATCCTGCGGGGTTAAAGGGACAGTGGTTAGGAATTCTCCCCCCTCCCATCATTGATTTATAAATAAATGCTGCTTCAGCACATGTGGTCGTGCTGCCTCATGGGCCATCTGTCCAGAAGTTGTCCTTCAAAGCAGAGGGGGAGTATTTACACCTGTGAGTAGACAATTTAGCAGAGTGCACTGTGAGGTTGGAGTTACACTTAACATTGGGAACATTGTGGGTTTTTTGTGCTAAACTGCTGCAATACATACATGTGTTTATCCGGTTCGAGCCCATGGCAATTTAAATGCTGTGTATAGGCCCACTAGCTTAAAAACATACACATTTGAGATAAAGATGTCACTGCAGTAGTTGGAAAGGGATTGAAGGATCAGCTAAGATACCTAATCAAATTTGAAAAGTTTGATGTAAAGGATTGATTGTCTTTTTTAAGTTACAAGCAAGTTACTTGAACAATTATATACATTATCATAAAATAGTGAAAGTGAAGTCTTCAAATGTTGTGTTTTCTTTAACTAACAATCTCAAGGGCATAGATATTCATTTCTGTAACATGATACAGGATGACAGTTGTCAGGGTAGAGTGAAGCAGGCAGGACCCAAACGCAGATTTAAACAGAAAAAACCTTTATTTCAAGGCTAAATATAACAACTGAACTCTTCCCAGTGAACACAGTCGAGACAAACAACAATCCAACAATGACAGACAGAAAAACCAGAACTTAAATGCACACAAGACTAATCACACAAACAAGACACAGGTGATGAGGGAGGAGAAAACACAGGGGCACCAGGTGAACACAATCAGGAAATTAGACACAGGAGGGCAAACACAGAAGAGGCTTCTCAATACTCCCCTCCTCGACTCCCCTCCCCTGTTCCCCTCCTCGAGACTTAGACCCGCCCACAGGAGATGCGAGCGGAGGACCGAGGAGGGGAAGCAGCAGACGTTTAAAGAAATGAGAACTCCTCTCCTCTGAGCGGTCATTTTAAAGAGATGTCCGTTCATTATTACGTGGCAACAGCTGCATCAGCTGTTGAGTGTTTTGTCATAGCACTGTATCTCTGTTAGATCAGCTGAACATTGTTCCCCCACATATTTACTTTGAATTCATTGAGAGTGCGGTATAATGAGACAATAACAGGCTACAGATGCGGACACACACACACAAATATATTTATATAAATATATACAATTTAAAGTATGAGAGCACTCTCATAATAACGTAACACAATCAGAGACTGGATATATCCCCCCCTCTCTCTGGTCGCTGAAATGGGGAATTGAAATTACGGGCCAAAAGTTGTATTTACAAGTAGGCCTATTAAAAGTAAGCAGAGGACACCAAACCAACTGAGACCCGTCTGTCCGCCGCATTTACGCACTGTACAACACACACCTACACACTGTACCACACACACACCTACAGCTCCTAAAGCATAAGCCGTTGTGTATTTTATTATGTGAAGCAATGGTCTTAGAAAAATATCGACTCTTTGTTTGTAGATATCTACTAAACTACAGCAAATAAAGAGAGTAGGCCTGTTATACTGAGTGATATATATTATACACACTGCTCTGCTTTCTACATGGACCTTACAGCTGTTCTCTCTGGAAACATCACGACGCGATGAAAGCAGTTTCTAAAATAATATCCAGGGGATGCATGCATAGCTGTCATTGGCTGAGATAAGTCCGGCCGTGCGTCACGCCTCCACCGTTCCCGGAAATGCATCCGTGGAGGAGCCGTGGAGGAACCATCAGTGTATCCTCGGTTAGAGCTCCTCCAGAGAGACTCCTCGACGCTCGATCCTCGGTCCTCGGTGTGCATTTAGAGAAATGAGACGTCCTTCAAAATGGCGCGCTGAAATTCATTTCCGGGTCACTACCGGAGGACCGAGGAGTCGAGGAGGGGAAATTTGAGTATTGAGAAGCCTCTAGAGACAGGAATCAACAGACAAGACAGGGGGTGAACACTTTTCAAAATAAAACAGGAAACCAGAGACAGACAAAACACAACACAGACAGACCGTGACAACACTAGACAGGAAATGTTATGGATATTGCGCAATACATTATTAAGCATGACCAATTATTTATCTGAACAACTATAGTCAATTAATCGTCCTGCTGTTCCAGCTCTAATCAGCAGTCGTTCTTTGTAAAGGTATACAAAGAAACAAAAATGTGTTAAAAAATCTATTCAGGTTGGGCACCCACAGTAATCGTACAAAAGGTTAACAATGTGGTCTAGTGAGAGGGCTTTATTTGAAACAACAGACACAAAATGAATAACAAACACAAAATGGAAAGAAAAGAAGAGTTTCATCCCCCACTTATTTTAATTCACCTTAATTAATTAGAGTCAGATGGCTGCGTAAATCAAATGTAGAGGTGATACAGAAGGTTTGAAGTGCAACATACTGTAGACTCCAGCTGCGATGGTGTGGACTGTGAATGAGAATCAATCTGTTCCTTTGCTAAATATCAGACTATGATTTCATCCAGTGTGCTATTTATTTTATAAACACAAAGAGGTAATATCTGTTTGTGTCTGCGACTTCTGCACTTGCAGTTAAAGATTAAGTTATGTAGTTTGTGTTTTTCATAGCTCTAATTTCGCCTTAACTGTATTAATTGTTATTCCTCAATCTCACGTTTCTGTAAATGGTGCGTTAAAGCAACTGTTTTAAAGAAGAAATGACTGCTGTGCTGAGATGCCTTTCTTGTCACATTAAGAGTCAATTATGCAGTAGCAGTTTATAGAAGATACAGTATTTTGCAACTGGGCCAGAGGACAGCAGAGTCTTGTTTTTAAGGTCATGTGTAATGTCAAGTCATGATGGGCTCGAGTTGGACACAAGGACAGGATCTGTATTTAGGTAAAAGGCTAAAGCGGTTTTATGAAACTGTGGTTTAGTTCAGGACGTGTTGCTTTGCACATCTGCAGATGTTGCATGTTTGAGTCCCTCATGGTGAGGACATTTTATTCCTTAGGGATAGGAGAAGATAAAAAGGGCTGAAGAAACATAAATTAGGGCTGCATTAATGATGTTGAAACTGTTTGTTGGTAGTGTTATACATTCCTGAAATTATTCCTGAGGTTAATATGAAAGCTATAGCAATCAAAGTTGGCCATTTCAAAGTTTGGTTATGCGACAATGCTCTCACAGTGTTCACTCTTTGAATCTCATATTATTGTAGCGCTCACCACCTCTGCTATTTTGTTTGTTTCCATGTCTCACCTGTCCACCCACACACAGAATGAAGGTCAGAGATTTAAAAAAACCCACCACGTTACATTATTTTTCCAAACCCACTACTTATTCACAGTGCGGTTGTTGATCAGTCACTTATCTCTTCATTACATTTAAGTAATGACATTTATGTGCAGTAATGAATTGTTCTGATGCTTTGGCAGACTAAACTTTGCATCTGCCAAATGTACAATTTCCATCCCTCTAAATTATACGATATTGGACAGCTTTATTTTGCTGTGCTTGTGTTAAGGTCAGAAGAGCTTTTCTTTGTAATACAGTACAACAGCACATTGTGGCAGTAGTTTTGCACCACTGATAAATGATTGTCCACTAAGATTAAGAAGATTAATTCACTCTCTCTGTTGTGCACAACACAACAAAATATTATTCACCACCAGAGGGTGCAAGTTCACTCACATTCAACTGATTATTTGCCTATAGAGATAGATTATAGGGAACAATGATTGCTATGTGATATGCTAACAATGTTGGCTATATCGTGTGTGTGTGTGTGTGTGTGTGTGTGTGTGTGTGTGTGTGTGTGATGTGTGTGTGTGTGTGTGTGTGTGTGTGTGTGTGTGTGTGTGTGTGTGTGTGTGTGTGTGTGTGTGTGTGTGTGTGTGTGTGTGTGTGTGTGTGTGTGTGTGTGTGTGTGTGTGTGTGTGTGTGTGTGTGTGTGTGTGTGTGTGTGTGTGTGTGTGTGTGTGTGTGTGTGTGTGTGTGTGTGTGTGTGTGTGTGTGTGTGTGTGTGTGTGTAGAGAGGCCTTTGGAGGAGCCAGGCTGGAGCCGGCTGCAGCTGGCTGTGGTGATCCTGGTGCCCTCCTGCCTGATGTGTGTGGGGGTCCTGCTGGGTGTGGTGGTGGTCCAGGGCCACTGCTGGGCCCACAAGCAGGACCTGGAGGAACCTCTGGATGACCAGATGTTGATGTCATCAGACAAATGTCTCAAAGACCTCATCTATGACATGAGCACATCGGGCTCTGGATCAGGTAAGAGAGATGGCGCTTATCTGATATAATGACCCATACTGGGTAATCTTGACAGACGTGAATAACTATAAAGCAAATACAATTGAATAGTTACATAATTGTATTCGTATAGTTACAGGATTTTAACAAACACAAAAATATATCACATTTCCCCCGCGCTGTCATCACTGCACTGGTTACCGGTGTCCTTCAGAATTATTTTAAAGTGCTTTCAATGATTTACAAGGCTTTACATAACATGGCCCCTACATACATCACAGACTGGCTACAAGGACACTCAGATCCTCTCATACTGAAAGTATTACACAAGACATCTGCGGAGGCTGCTTTCTGTTTTTACGGCCCCAAACTGGGGAAGAGCCTCCCATTGGATCTTAGAACAGCACTCTCCATTGGATTATTTGTATCTGTAAAGCACTTAGGACAGCATCTTGCATGAAAGGTGCTATATAAATAAAGCTTATAATACCACAAAAATTACCCCAAATGAAAAGCCAAATTATACAGATAGGTCTTTAATTTAGTTTGCTGTTCTACGATCCAATGGGAGGCAGTTCCACAGTTTGGGTCCATAAAAACAGAAAGCAGCCTCCGCAGTCACTGATGTATGTAGGGGCAGGTTATGTAAAGCCTTGTAAAGCCTTAAAAGGACATCTGAAAGAAGTCAAATCAATTCTGAAAGACACCGGTAACCAGTGCAGTGATGCCAGCACTGGGGAAATGTGGTCCTGCAGCATTCTGAATGGATTGCAATTTCTTTAAAGATGTTTTAGGGAGACAAGTAAAAAGAGAATTGCAGTAGTCCAAGTGATTAGTAATAAAAGCTCGTAAAAGCATTCCGAGTTAAAAATGGTGTGATCCTGGCAACGTTTTTGCAACCTTGTTAAAATTGCTTGAAACATTTATATCACAGTCTAAAATGACCCCCATATTGGTAACTTGTGTTTTAATATATCTGGCATGCTGTGAAATGGAAATATACAATTGTGTGTCATTGACAGAGCTAAATCCCAGATCAAATGCATGCTAAAGGGTCTTTGAGCATGTGTTCTCTAAGTGATTGTGCTGTTATGTTAAATGTTAAATGTTTGTTTTTCATGTATTGTGTCTTGATATTTGTCTATGTTGATGTTACATAGTGATGCAAGTCAAATTTCAGACTTGATCTGACCATTAAAGTATTATCGTATCGTATTATATCGTATTGTATCATATTGTATCATATTGTATCATATTGTGTGTTAATATCAGTTAATTGTGTTGCTGGTATTTCTTAGGCCTGCCCCTGCTGGTCCAGCGGACTATAGCTCGGACCATTGTCCTGCAGGAGACCATTGGGAAGGGTCGATTTGGGGAGGTGTGGCGGGGAAAGTGGCGAGGAGAGGATGTGGCGGTGAAGATTTTCTCCTCTAGAGACGAGAGGTCCTGGTTTCGTGAAGCAGAGATTTATCAGACCATCATGCTCAGGCATGAGAACATCTTAGGCTTCATTGCTGCGGACAACAAAGGTAAGAAATGACGGACAATTACCAATTTCAATGAAGTTCAGATTACAGTTATGATGAGATGAACCTGTGTGACTATTATCTGCTGTATGCTGCAGATAGCGGCTCGTGGACTCAGCTCTGGTTGGTGTCAGAGTACCATGAGCATGGCTCCCTGTATGACTACCTGAACAGGTACACGGTCTCTTTGGAAGGCATGATCGTCCTTGCTCTGTCCATAGCCAGTGGGCTGGCACATCTCCACATGGAAATCATCGGAACACAAGGTAAGGCTGTAAAAATGGAATGAATGTGTTTATGAATGATAAAAACTGTTATAGCATTTATGTGTGCAATAAACCGACTATAGTAAAGAATTGTCTCACCCCAGATTCCAGCAGTGACAGTCAGCCTGTGAAACCTCAAGGCTGTTTACAATGTATAAATGAGGCTGTAATTTAGGCTTGCAGCTAAAGATTACTTTAAACTCTGTTTCGTTTAGTTTCTACAATGTCAAAACATTTCTTTCACAGAATCAAACATTATGTCTTAGTCGAGAAAATAATCTCTCTGAGCAGATCTAGAACATCTAACAAATAACCCTGCTAATATTTGGTACTTGGCTAGATAAATTAGATAAAATCATAGTGATTACTTTCCTTTCCTTTTGCTCAGTAAACCGATTGCAATTCAACTGTGTGGTTTTTTTCACATAAATGTCATTCATGGCTGTGATGAATTGACTAGATTTCATTATACTGTATGTAAGAGTACTACAAAACACTTGTTCAATTGTTCTTTTTTACTTCATTTATCCTAATAGCATTACTGTATGCAACATGTTGAGTATGAGTATGAAGCAAAATACTTTATTTGTGGCCTTCTTGGTTATAGGGAAACCTGCGATTTCCCACAGAGACCTGAAGTCGAAAAATGTCCTTGTGAAGAATAACGGCACCGCAGTCATCGCAGACTTGGGTTTGGCTGTGAAACACGACTCAAGCACCAACTCCATCGACATACCGTCCAACCACAGAGTGGGAACCAAGAGGTCTTATTTACTTCCCAACACACAGTTAACAGCAAATAGAAACTGAAATGACCTCAAACCTATTGATTTGATGTGCTATAAGTTTAATTAGTTTGGTATTGAAAGAGTGTTTAATATCCTTGTCTCAGTATGGCCTGATTATAGCCATTCCTACACAGTTCTCATGTATTGTTTATATATATATATTTAAACGTTAAACAGATGTCTTTGCTTTCCAAGTGCCCTTATACGATTTTGAATTGAGAGAACATGGTGAAACAAACTAACACTCCAGTCGGTTTAGGAGATCTTCTTAAGTAAGTACTTAGGTCTTAATCATGTTGTCCTCTGCAGGTACATGGCCCCAGAAATCTTGGATGAGTCATTCCATATGAACAGCTTTGAGTCATTCAAGAGGGCGGATATCTACTCTCTGGGCCTGGTGTTCTGGGAACTGGCTCGGAGATGCTCTGTTAGAGGTACTTTAAATGGACCATGTTTATTTGCCCATCGCATGCTATTTAAGGGTGGTTATATCCTCATGTTTTTTAGTACGATGTACATCAGTCCTGTCTTCACAAGGCAGATAAGGACAGGCATGATAAATCAAATGTCCTTTTTTTTTCACAGGACTGCATGAAGATTTCCAGCTGCCTTATTATGACCTTGCGCCTTCTGATCCAGCCATCGAGGACATGAGGAAGGTGGTGTGTGATCAGAAACTCAGACCCAACGTTCCTAACCAGTGGCAGAGCTGCGAGGTGAGACAGGAAAATATAACTGATGTATCCTCATGTTATGTATTTTTCACCAACTTTATGATGATGCTCACTTATCATGAGTATAAATGTGTAAAAGCCAGAAACAAAACCACAACATGCCATATGCTATGGAAGAAAAATCTTGTTCATCGCAACACAGGCACTTTTGTTTTGCAGTAGACATGTTCATTGCATTAATGAGCACATTTTTCATTCTGAAACTTCACTTCAATGATCATTTTCGCTAAGTGAGTAAAGGAAGAGTTGGAGCTCCCCTCGCTGGAGGCACTGTCATCAGTTCAGTTTGATAAAAGCTTTGAAAGACAATAAATAATACATTTGTTTCACTTAGGCACTTTAAAATGATGAACACTGTATTTATCAGCGTAGTATGTCCCGAATTGATAAAAAAAAAACAGTGAACTGAATACCAAAAGAAACGTCTGTTTTGACAGTGATGAAAACTAAATGTAACACATTTTTTATAATTACCAAAGCTTTGGTATTTATGTTACACAAAGTAAGAAGCTGACACTACAGCTCTGACGTTTTTGCTTTTCATCTGTCTACTTGTTACCCACCAGGCTCTGCGTGTGATGGGAAAACTGATGAGAGAGTGCTGGTACGCCAACCCTGCTGCTCGACTCACCGCTCTGCGGGTCAAGAAAACTGTTTCTCAGCTGTCCTTCAGCAAGGACGTCAAAGATTAAGTAGATTTGTTGCCCTGCAGATCACCACTGGTGCGACACGAAGGACAGAGTCACAGTAACTGGGAGAGGCTGTTCTCTCACTAACGGCCTGAGGCTGCCCTCTTCAGGAGACGACCACATTGTTCACCCTCAGAGAGCAACTTCAGGTCTGTTTTTGGTGCCAAAGTATTGTAGGGGTGTCCATGGCTGCTTTGCACATAGACAATCACTCAAAAAATTAACCAAACAGCTAAAATGTTGCTAGAAAGAGCCATAAGAAATAAGAATATATATAATGAATAAACTGATTATTTTGCTACCTCAGACATGTAAGTGCCCAAAGCTTAAAGTTGCACATTGTAGTATTTGTGTGCCATATCTTGTAACAAATGCAGTATTGCTGAGTAGCTTATGTGCCTACTGACAATCACACATGATACTGGAAGCTTATTAACAGACTTTGCCTGATAATCTGAATTTTAAAGTGTTTGAAGTGCTTTAAAAAGTGATTGCAGTACTAATGTTCACTGTATTGATTGTGTTTAGTGGAAATGTTACTGTACAGGAATACAGCTGTGTATATCCAACTGGAAGATATCTGTCAGCTTAATATATTAAATGTGAATATATCCAAGTGTTTTTATTTGTGAAATGTTACAATCCAACTATTGATTTGTATCCACATTGGATGGCAATGAGAGTTTATACGTTAGTCCAAATACTTTTGAATGGATGAAGTTAAGTAAAGACATTCCTGGTCCCCAGAGGATGAACCCTAATACATTTGGTGATCCCCCAACTTATAGTATAACTGGGGCTTATCAAAACAAAAACAAAAGTAAAGCCTGACAAACTAAGACTTGGCTTATCCTAATATAATCAGAGTAACCCCTTAAATTTGGTTTGTTAGTTAAAAGCTTGACTGTTACTCTGGCGCCACCTTGTAAATATTTGCACTGAATTATTGTTTTCACTTAACTTTAAGTGATAAAGCTGTCTCTCTTAGATTAGATTATATATATATGATTTAACACCCTAAAGCAGAGGTGTCAAACTCAATTTCATCTCGGGTCACATTAGCATTATGGTTGCACTCAAAGGGCCGGTTGTAACTTTAAGACTATATAAATATACATTTATATATATGTTATATATATTAAATAATGTATTATATTACATTATTGCCTCTGCATTGGATTACTATCGGATAGGGTAATAACTTTATAATTAACTACGTCTGAGAGCAGAAGTCTAGGGTAAATAATTGCAAGTCTCTTCAGTGAGAATGTCACAAAATGATTTGAAAAGAAAAGCCACATTCTGGAAAAAAATCACATTACAAAGAAAGAAGTGAAAAAAAAGAAAAAATAAGTGAAATAAAAAAAAAAAGTAACATTTTGAAAAAAAGTAACATTATGAAAAAAGACAAATTCTGAGAAAAAGTCACGTTCTAAGAAAAGTCAAATTCTGAGAAATAAGTCAAATTTGAGATGCATTGTGGGACATGTAGTTTATAGTCTTCTGTAAATCGGCATGTAGCCGTATAATAAACATATTATATTCTTTGCAAGCTCTTGTTGGGCCGCATAACATGAAGTCACGGGCCGGATTTGGCCCCGGCCGGGCCTTGAGTTTGACACCCCTGCCCTAAAGGGAAGTGCATAAGCTCCTGCTTCATATATTTTGCACATTTTGCTGTAAAGAGTTGTTGAAAAACTAAATAATTCGCATCATGGTTAAAAGTTATTTGCTTTATATTTCTTAAATATATTAATTTACACTGGAAGAATGTTATTGAAATGATAAACTCTTAGCTTCCCTACTGCAGAATTCAGGACTTGAGTATTGTTAACATTGGCTTGACAGCTAGGTAGTTATGTAAGAAAACAATTCACCCTACAAGCCTGATACTGTTTATGTAAAACAGCAATTAGGATAAAAGCAATATGAGCAATATAAGATCAGATATTGATCAAGTTAAAACACATTTTAAAAATCATAACATGAGGAAAATAACAGGAGAAGAGCACAGTCTGAGTGATGGGTGCACAGCAAGGCTTTGGTCTGAAGAGGCCTTATCATAACAGGATTAGGGAAGGTGCACATTGGTGAATCTGCATACCATGTGTGCCTGTTGCCCACATATGTCAAAGTGTGTGTATTTGTTTCATATTCTTCAAGTTCATGTGATTCTGTGTTTAAAGATGCAACTCTGGTCAATCATTTATTGTTGATTTAACCGGTGCTGTGCCTGCCCATGTTTCCCATCTATTCAACCTCAATTAATGTTCATGTTTTTAGTGGCTAAGGCAAGGTAAATGCTTCCATGTCGCTGCTCAGTGTTGACACATACTGTATGTATGTCCTCCTGTTATAAAGGTTTAACCATTACTAGTTTATAGCATCAGCTGTGTTGCCTGAAAATAGGCTATGTAGCCTGTTCGCTGCTTTGAAAAAAAAAATATATGTTCTGCTTTCTATGTCTATGTCTTCGCCTGTGTCATTTGTAAATATAAACATTTTGTATTTGATGTTCGATCTATGCTGAGCCAAGCTTTTATTTTGTGTATTGTGTCATATATGCTTCTCAGATAATTAATCAGGTCACACAAGAGATATCTGTGCTGTTATGTTAATTGTTTGTTGTTTAATTCTTCATGTATTGTGTCTTGATATGTGTCTATGTTGATGTTACACATGGAGCTGCTGTGATGCAAGTCAAATTTCAGACTTGATCTGACCATTAAAGTATTATCGTATCGTATCATATATAAAATGCTTATCTATCATTCAAAGAGGCGTGACCACCATGTGCAATTACTGACTAGTGTCTTTTATATATTGTGTATGAAATTGCTTAATGTTTTCACATGTAATTCTGCGTTCATAAAAACAATTCCTGCTTTTAGATTTTCAAACCAATTTAAACCAATATTTTGATTAAAGTGAACCCATTTTATGTCATGGCTTGTTTGAAGCCTTTGCATTTATTTTCCTTCTTGCACTATTTATTCTGTATACAAGTGACTTATATTGGTGTATAATAAACAGTTTTTCATGGAATGAACTCTTTCCATTACTTTTTTTCATAATATAAATATTTGATTGAGTATAAAAATATATATTTCAGTATAAAATGTCTCCACATTGCACTAGTTTTTTGAAGCAAAGATTGTGCAGATCTTTGCACATTACTGTACGTAGGAAAGAATTTCCCAGAGCACCTTATCTGAAACGGGTCCTTTTATCTTCCCCATCATACTTTTACCTCAAATTATGTGACTCATCCTCGCTCTCTGTTCTACTGCTTTGCTTGTGTAAACTGTTCATAATGTGTCCGTTATAGAGCAGGGAAAGAAAGTGTAACAATGAGACCATCAGCACTTTGCAGATGAGTCAACACCGAGCACAGTTGCTTTAACGGATTTTACTGTTACCTCAAAGTAGAAAGGTCACACAGTGTTACCCACAGGAGCTTTATCTGCGAAAAGGATGTCATTATAGAAAATGTTACCAAATTATATTTATAGTTTAAAGGTTTCTTTGAGGTTATAGTTTTAAAGGTCCCATGTCATGCTTTTCCGGTTATTACCCGTCCCCTTGTGTGTTATGTAGCTTTGTATGCATGTAAACGGTGTGCAGAGTCACAAACCCTCAAAGTACACCCTGTAGCGAGTAAAACTCTAACACAGAAAATACCTGTCAATGCTGCCCCAGAACGCCTCGTTGGAGGTTTCTCTTTTTCTTCCTGGGAACAGTGACATGCCCATACCCAAATGGACCAATCCGTGGAGCCGTTACGTGACGTTACGTGTGTGTGAGCCTCACACACACACACTCAATATTTTCTCAGCTGCAGCTCCGCCGATTTCTCCTGCCTGAGACGGCGGGACGCGGCGAGGCTGTGAGTCGGTGTGTGAGCACACACACAAACTCCCAGCCAGGCTGCAGGTGTGTGTGTGTGTTCGGGCTGGGTTTCGCTGTGTCTCACTGTCTCGCAGACGGCCACTGGGCTCATAGGGAGGGGGGGGGGGGGGGGGGCAGGAGCTCCAACAAGCCGTTTAGGACAGAGAGTGAATACACATACTATACAGAGATGCTGTATGAGAACCAATGTGAGTTTGGAAAATTGCACAATATACATCTATTCTAGTAGACCTCAACAATGGAATTATGATCAGTTGAAATGGCCATGACATGGGACCTTTAACTATTTTTAACCTAAAAAAAATGTATTCTCATTTTTTCCACATTATAAAACAATGTTTATAACAAATAGGTATTAAACATACTGCAAGTTAACTGCATTGGAACCACTTGTTTTAATTAACACTGACTGCTTTTGAATGCATATGCCAATATGAATAGGGTGTGTGTGTTGTTTTAATAAGAAAAGACTCATCGATGATAATGAATCCAGTGTTTTCCGTTGTCCTCACATCAAGCAGCAAGAGAGTTCATGCTATCAACAAAACGTATCTGTATTTATGGTGGACGGGAAATGTGCAATGTCCTGGTGAAATGTGGTATCTGTGTTCCAGACAGTCTGCTGAGGGGCAGCGGGGCAGAGGGAAAGGCTGTGGGGCAATCTGCTGCAAGGGAGTATTTAAACTGGGTTCATACATACAGTACTGGTCCCTAGAGACATGTGGCTTTTGTGCATAGTGAAAGATGATCTTCTCTTCCTGCAGATTAAACAGTGTGCCTTTTGTAGGCATGGGTGTGGTAGTGCGAGAAGGTTTGTGCACATTGGTTCAGTTTTCTTTACCCCATTAGCCATTGTCTCCCTGGCTGCGGCCTGTGTGTGTGATTTCCCTTTTGAACCAACCGTGTCTGATGCCTTCGGCCCAATGACCCATGCTTTCTGTTTGGGGAGCGTGACAGTGGCCCCGAGCTAAATCAGCCTTTTGTCTGTCCTCATAAGACAAGTCTCCCTGCTTGGCAGAACACAGGACTCAGGCTGAAGCTAAGCCCATTGAGGAACTGAGAGTGAGAGAGGCTGGAAGCAGGTGCTGCTGCTAGCGTGATGTGGCAGTTTCTCATGCATTGCTGATTTCTGACAGACCATAAATCAAATTGCTTAGACTGCTAAAAAGGAAAGGGACTATTCGAAGGGGATTTATAAGAAGAAAAAAAACTTCCTTTGCTTTTCAAAACAGCGGACCATGCCTTCTCAAGAAAGAAGTTGAAAGAGGTGAAAAGGAAGTAAGGTATGTGAGATTGTGATCTGCAGATGCAGGTCCACCACAACCCTCACATGACGTGGATTTCCGCTCTGACACATTGTGCCTGTAGCTGCTCAACGGGGCAGGGCCACACGATCACTGAAGAGCTGCTGCTGCTGCAGGACATGATGGTGCTTTGAGGGCTACTCTACCATGCAGTCCACCATGAATTTCAATGGACTTCAACGACAGAGCAGCCAAGAGAATTACATTCTGGATAATACTAGGAAGAAATGCTCCCTGTGGTCCCGACGCTCCCTGAGGGAAATCAATGATCGACAACGGAACAACACAGGCTCCCTGTCCAGAGTCAGCAAGGTGAGACAATAAAGCCGATGTAAACACACACTTCTGCAATGCAAATCAAACATAAAACACAACATTTATTAGACCTGACATTTCTCTTATGCAGTATTGTTCATAATGAAAAGCAGTTCACTGATTTAACTGTGTAACAAAAGTATAGCATCTCTCTGCAACTGGCAGAAAGCCTTTTAACAATTGTAATCTTTTGAGTTATTTAGAAATGCAGGATCAACATTTTCTTACACTGAGCAACCTCTTTAGTTTCCTGAGAGGTTTACACTTTAATCTATTATAATGTTTTAAAGAGGAACTCTGCATTTCTCCTTTTGCAGACAAAACTAACCCACTCCAACTCCTTGGTTGATTACTCTGACCCACAAAGGTAAATATATCAAATCTGAGGTGTAATAGATCGTAAAGGGGGGGGGGGGGGTTCACTTTTAACCTCACAACAAATCATTGATGGAAAATTCAAAACATGACGAGTTGTTCCTAAAATATTCATTTGCATTTTGTTGTTTGCACAGGACCACGATCGAACTTGAAAAACAAGACAATGAAACATTTGGTTTTGAAATTCAGGTAATCAGATTTTATACTCTTTAAGATTAAATACATAATGTTATGCTCTCATGCTTTTTAAAACCTGCTCGATTCTTTGATATGTTTATTGGAAAAGCATTTTTGTGACTAATTTCCCCTTGTTGCAGACCTATGGCCTGCAGCTGAAGGACAGCTCTGCAGTGGAGATGTGCACGTTTGTGCTCAAAGTGCAGGAGGACAGCGCTGCTGAGAGTGCTGGCCTGACCGCAGGTAGACCACCCACATCCTCTAAACATGCCTTCACAGGCTTCCCATGCATACACAGAGTTATTATGTCAACGCCTACACACACTGATGCACAGATGCTAAGCAAAGCCATGTCCTCTTCTTGTAAATGATTAGTTCCTTTTTTCTGCATGTTCATTGTAGGAGATATTATCGTCACCATCAATGGGGTCAGCATTGAAGGATCATCTCATCAACACATACTTGATCTGATCAAAGAATCAACCAACAGTCTAAAGTAAGTGATAAAAGAAAACCATTGGCTGTGCATCAAAGCACAACAGAGGATGAATCCAATGTGCAGAAATACAAATATCAGAGGCTTTTCTATTGTGTGTGACCATGTGTTTTTATGTGATTCCAGGATGGAGACAGTGTGTGGAAATGTAGTGAAGCAGATAGAGCTGGAGAAGAGGGTGAACCTGCTGAAGGTGTGTATCTGTGACCCGCCCATGTTTGTTGTTAACATAATGCAGCTTTGTGGTTGTATTTCAATGACTAAACTAAACCACCCAATCCCAGCTAAACAGCTTACTCAAACATGTCATAACTAAACCCAGAAGAATTGTGGGCTCTCACACTGAGCCTTGAATGTATAGGCTAAAATGTTTCTTACCAGAATTAAAACCACAATCTTTTTTCTGGTCATACAGCAATCACTACGTGAGAAATTGGTGGAGCTACAAGCCGTTACATTACAGGAAAAACGTCTGATGCGAGGTGAGAGGATTTGTTCAGCCGTCACTGCAGCACTTCCTGTCTCACATCTTTCTGTTAATGTTGTGTGTTCAAGTGTGAACTCCAGATAACTGAGATAAAGGAGTTCCCCTGAAAAATGAACACTGACAAACTTCCTGTTCTTCTCGTCACCTACAGCTTTATCTAACACTGTTATGTTTTCAGGGAACTTGAACAACGGCAGCCTCCACCTCTCGATGGACTCATCAGGGAGTCTGAGCACTCAACGCCGGCGTTTTTCAAGTGACAGTAGCTACCGAAGCGTGATGACAGAAGACAGTGACCAGGCCAGTGTGTTTGGGGATCTGTGCTCTCCAAGCCCCTGCAGTGCAGCCAGCACCACAGACGACAGCTGCTTCTTCTCTAGAGACTTCCCCTCACAGGACGGCTCCCGCAGGTTTTCAACAAGCTCCAACCATCATCACCAATCCCTGGGACGCTCCAGCAGCTCCAGCTTGGCCGGCAGCAGCAGCAGCTCCATCTCTCCTTCCTGGGAGGAAACAAGGATCTCCTCCTTGTTTGGTACCCTGCCCCGTAAAAGCAGGAGAAACAGTGTTCGTAAACACATCCTGAAGTTAATTCCTGGACTCCAGCGATCAGTGGAAGAGGAGGAGATTGGAACAAACTCTTAGTGACTCACATGCTCCTTGTGTTTATTTGATACTAAGGGTTAACAAGGTTTCTCATGCTCTTTTTGCAGAAAGAAATAGACACTGTAATGAAGTGTTTCCACACACACAAGGTTTGGTTAACCCTTAAAAGAAACCTGTCTTCGCCTTCATGGGAACTCAGAGATAACTGACATTTTGGCACTTGGCATTTATCAATGTCAAAGTTTATCCAAGAGGGTCCTGAGCCTTAAAGGTGAGCCTGGCTCACTGCTTGGCTTAGACTTGTGGTTGCACAAAAGCATTATGAAAATATTCTTCCTTTGTGTGAATGTACGAATACAAGATTGTAATGTAAATAGATGAGATGTGTATCCTACTGGCTTGAATAAAAAGCTGCATTAATCAGAAGTCTGAACTGCAGTAGCTGAACTCATGTAGCACCTTGTACTTTAACATGAGTTTACTGTGACCTAAAACCCATGAGAACCATGTATATTTCAGGTCCGATACACATGTAAACAGCACTTCGGTCACATTCAGGTGCTGAAAACCAAAACCAGAGCTCTACTCCATATAGATATCTGCTCAGCTCATAACAGGATGTGGGTACAAGAGGTATAACTGCTCGTTCACAACATTTCTTTTTAACTTTCGGTGTTCAGAAATACTGTTTCTTGTTTCTGAATATGCTTAAATATGTATGTTTAACTTTCAATAGCAATAAAGTACGTTTTTACAGAATGTCGTGCTTTCTTTTTTGGTATCAAGTCAATGAAGTCTGTTTGCAATTGAAAATAAACGTGTGAAGTTAAACACTGTAGTGTTTTCCGTCAGTGATCAGATAAAGCACACTCTGTCTGAAGTTACCCTTGCCACAGGAAGTGTATTTAACACATTACAGAGTGAGTTACATTATAGATTTCTGTTGATGATGCAGGTAGTGCAGATCGATTATTCATATACATAAAACAAGTATTATTATGGGGACTGTCGATTGCCTGTAAAGTTTAAGTTACAACAGTTACAACACTTGAGAATAGCACCTTACACATTTCCTGTAATAAGTGTCACTTCTTTGGTTTCCTGCCTGCTAAACAGAGGGAGACAGAGAGAGGTACAGAGGGGCATAATCACATTATGAGGAATTTAACCGTTTTCCTGCACTTGATTACTATATTCACAAAAACAAAAACGTTATGCATCATCTAAACTGAGAGACTAATCATTTAGAAATATAATACAAATAATAATTAAAAAAGTAACAGTAGAGAAATGTTACCAGCAAGCTACTTAAGAGAAGTTATTTTTTAACGTTTACTATTGTTGCTTGTTGAGGTGGATCTAGCTTTACACAGGTTATTGAGTCCTGCAGTTTCCAACATAAGGGTTGGGCCCCTCAAAAATGTCACAGGATAAATTGTGGGGATTGTGACGTAATTAATGCAGGAAACGTCTTTTCTTTATTTCGTCTCTTTTATTTAACCTCTGATATATTTTGTTAAATAAAAAAGAGTGTTACCTCTTTGTACTGCTGATGTTTCCTGTTTCACGAAATGTAAGTGTTCAAAATGTTATTTCAGCATTTTAGGTGCCTAAGAAAATTATGAATGAATGGCATTAACAAGGCTTATCTGCAGCACGTGTGCAGAACCACAGTTGGTTCAGGTGAAGCTCCACTGTAAAGAAAAACTATAGGAGAATGTTAATCCAGATTGAAAGGTTACAGAATGAAGGAGGTCACCCCAGCAGGGATTATCGAAGAATAAATACAATCGCTTCATGCAGATGCAAAATACACAAGGATTCTTTGTTGGGGCCCCAACAAAACCCTCGTTCTTCAGTGTTGCAACACCCACACAGAATTACATGGTACTAGCACTAGAGAGCACACACACGCTGGACCTTGCACTGAGACTGAGACGTAGCATGGATTCTGTTTTCACTCTGAGAATGTAGGAAAGGAGGTATTTTGGTAAAATACTTTGATTGCTGGAGCAAACGGTGTTACGATGAGAAGTCTGGTGGTTGCTTAAAATTGCCTCAACAAATAGTCTTCAAAGGAACAACTAAGAGCATTGAAGCTTTATCATCTTCAATAGGCAAAAGTAGAACAGAAGGATGGATATGGAGACAAGCACAATTCCTCCAAAGCCCCCCAGGCTGGCAGTAGATGAAGACACACTTGCATCCCAGGTACTAGAGATCATCGGTGGGATCACTCGTGAAGCCCTGCAGACCCTCCAGGAACCCGAGGAAAAAGACGTGTGGTTAATGGAGGAGGGAGATGACTCTGTGTTCTACAGTGACGAGGACCAAGTTCATCAGGACATTACAACTTGTGGTTTTGGTGCCAACGGGTTTAAGCCTCTTGTCAACAGTGTGGCAGATGTTGAGGAAGAGCCAGGGGAAGAATACATTACTGACAAAGAAAGTTCAGAGTTGAAGGAGGAATTGAATCAGCACGTCATCGTGGATGAACAAGAGTTACGCCAAGAAGGCCAAACAGTAACAACTCAACCTATGGATCAGTCAGATCCACAAACAGAGTCTGATCTAACCTCAGAGAAGTCAGAGAGCGCCTGTGGAGAATCTTCTAAGTGCACTATTGCAGAGATGCAAACAGCGCAAAACACATCAGCTGAAAAAGGTAAGAGTAACTTATTTATATTGTGCAGTAACATAGATTGCTTTAGAGGGCGGTTTTTGTTTACAGATGCAAAACAGTTTTTCCCTCTCTTTTATTTTCAGTGAATCTACCAGTTGAGAAAGAAGGAGTAACACCAAACCCTGAGCCCTCTGCTGTCACTAATGAGCGGGGCTATGGCAGGCTGAATGGGGAGGCAGACGTCTCACAGCAGATGTCTAATGCTGATCTCCAGGTATCAGGTGACAGGCCGCTTCAGGTGGAGCCAGAGGAGGAGCGCAACTTCCTCATCCCTGGGGGGTTTCATCAAAAGCTCAGTCCAGGCTACTCCACTCTGCCTCTGCCGAAGAAATCGTGCAGCAGCGACGGCGACCAGAAATCCTTCAGCCACCTCACTTCCCCCAAATACGGCACCGTGTCCTACCGCAAGATCCGCAGAGGAAACACCCGCCAGAAGATAGAGGAGTTTGAGTATATGATGATGAATTTGTAAGAAGATCTAACTGATGGTACAGTTTACATACTTATTTGTTTGAAACATCTAATTGTACAAAGCATTAACATTTCTGATGTAACTTTAGAGTCACACAAGATTTCCAAATGAAGAGCATTATTGATATCAGCTGTGCATTATCTGATTTGAGAGCAATGCTTAAAAGACATCTTGTATGTTCTGCTTTTCATTTGATGGTTTTATGTGGAAAACATCTTGTTATGTAAGGCAGGTATTTGGGCAGTGGATTACACTAAAGACGCTCAGGGCTTTATAATCCTACTCACTATAATAACTATACGATGTTTGGTATTAAAACGTTAGCATTTTAATCTCTAGGGTAATAATTTACAAGAGATTAACCAAAACATTCATACTTCATGTCTTAGTAATGGCAACTGTATTAAAAACATATAAAAAGATATAGCTTATTAAATCGAAAAAAAAAATCTCTTTTATTTTTATGCATTTCCATCATTATCTGGTTTAAGGGTTTTGATAAGAGGCCGCAAAATCATGATATAACATCACAGGTTTGTTGTGTGTTTTAAACCAACACTTCCCTCTAGTGACAAGAAGACATTCATACAAATGGACCGTTTTTAGAAAAAAGAACCACACTAAAAGAATGCATAGAAGCAGCCGTTTCCCCCCCATGTGCCTCGTCAAACACAAAAGTACATGACATGAAGAAAATATGATGTTTAGCTGAAAACATGTGATATGTTCAATACATTCTATATTACATGCAATTATTCCCAACACAAAATGAAGAGAATGAAAATCACTTTTTACATCTGACATCTGATAGGCACTGTTTATCTTTGGTAGTGAGATATGTTGTGCTTAATATAAAGTGTTCACAGACATTCACCAGAATCCCTTTGACATTCCCCGGTTCAAATTGTTCCAAAACAGAGAGGAGATGCTGCCTTTCCTCTGGCACACAAGTTTAAAACTCTACGCCAGTCCATGATGATTTGATGAAAGTAAATTAGAAACATTGCACATCCCCAAACTCTGCTCTGCCCCACATGTTCCTGCCACCAAAGCGCTTCCCTCCTCTGGACAGTGGTGTGTTGAGTCCGAGCTGCAGACTGTAGTGTAGTGTAGGCCACTGAAGGTCTCTATAGTGCATGTGTGACACAGTTCAGTCTCATCACTAAGCGTGGTAGTGTGTGAACTGCCACTTCTGGAAGGCATTTCCGGTTTCACATGGATTTAGGCGAAGAGTGTCACCCAGAGGCCCCGCCTCCAGGCACATGTGTTTGGATGCAAACTCTGCTATGAGGTGCTCCGCCTTGACAAAGACAAAACAGGAAACATGATTAATGAGCGAAGCTTTAGCCTCTAAACAATCTTTGATTCCCTTTCCCTTATACCAAACTGAAACCAACTTCATAAAGCAAGCCAGTCATGTTGTTTGAAATAAAGTAAAGAAAGAGAAAGAAGTAGTAGACAACACAAAGGCATACCCAGAGTCAACCTACCAGAGCGGAGTTGGATGATTTGTGGAACCAACGATGCTCAGGCTTGTCGTTGTCACATAATTGTAAAGCGAAGCTGCTGCCCTTGCCTTGGGGAGCGAGACATAGATCTTGCTGCCGTATGTGCCTCGTCCAGGTGTAATTAAAGTGCTGACTCTAAATACCAGAGAGAAAGAGAGGGGAGTGACAAGGATGTAATTAGGCTCCATGAAAAATTGAAGATTTTTGAAGGGCAGCTCAGTGTTCTGCTGTGAACCCAAAAAGACCACGTATAGAGGCCTGGTCTGGCTGGGACTCCTCCCTTGTTTATCGTGGCTTGGGTCCTGTCTTGGACTCTGATTGTCCTGATCCAGGTTTATTCCTGGATATTTTTGTTCTACGCCCCCCATAATTACCACAGGCAAGAGGCCATGATTGCACAATCGCCACATACTTTCCTCTGAAACACTATATCACTTTTTTTTGCAGTTAAAACATTAGTAAAATAAACATTAAAACCTGCAATGTCTTCTGTGCTCTTAACATTTGTTGCACTTGCATGTGAGCTACAGAACTATCTTACACTAAATCTTTGTTTAAGCATTTAAGCTCTATTTGACAAGTGAATGCACATGTGCTGTAACTGAACACTTCTAGTTCATAGTTGGAGGTAATGTGCCATTTGTTTCAAGTCTGATGCTTGAGAAAGTCTGGATCTCAAGGGGAGTATTCCTGGTAAAATAAAGGTTACATCAAAATAAAAATAAAGAATAAAAAAAGCACACCCACCTGCTTGCTGAGATCACATTTATCAAAGGACAGAGAGCCTTGCTGCATATTGAGGCATTTTCTCAAGCCCTGATTAAAGACCTACAAGGAGAAATTAGATACAATTAAAATAAAACAACACAGAAGTGAAATACCAGCACTGCAAACATTTCTTCACTCATTTGTATTGGGTATGACAATGAGCCTTGTTCTCGTTTCTTTCGATGAATCCTGACAGAAAGCTATTGTTTGTTCCAAAGAGAACAATCATAGCCTCTGTTTGGGTCCAGAGCCAACAATAGCTTAAGGGAGGGAAAGTATAACAAGCTTTCCTTTTAAAGAAATGTTAATGTGAACAAAGTGTATTCCTCTACATACCAGGCCCTCAGCTTTGGCTAAAGGTGCGTTCATATCTGGAAACACGTTGTCCAGGTACCACTTGAAGCTCTTGCACTGGAGCTTCTTCCTCAGCTCGATCTGCTCGGTGAGATCGCCGATGTTGGTGCTCTTTTTATCCAGCAGGTGGTGGTAGCCGTGGCCGTAGAAGAGGTCCTTGTACTCATCCAGCCAGACCTCTGCCACCCTGGCCAGGTTACGCTCCACCGTCTTCTGCCGGTCTTTCGGGAACTTGTAAGGATTCTGTCCTCGGAAGATGTGTCCCACTCGAGAGCAGGGGATGATCTCGATTTCCCCTCCACACATCCAGATCTGTTCAAATGGTAGGATAAGGCAGCATGTGAGTGAAGCTTTTGCTTTTTTTTGCAGTTAAAACATTAGTAAAATAAACAATGGCCAATGGCCAATATTTGTGTATGAAATTAAAAGAATGACATACCTTGGCTAATACATAAAGCTAAATATAGCTTATTTGTTTGTTTATTTATTTGTTGTTTTTGTTTTGTTTTTCAATAACAAATGTATTTCTTTAAGAAAGAAGAAAGAAAAAAAAAAATATATATATATACATTATATGTTAGTAATTTAGTTTTTGGGAGAAGGGATGGGATTAAATAAGTGTAAACTTCTTCCCACCCCTTTTTGGATGTGTAATTAAGTAGATTATTGGTTTATACATAATTTAGAATCAGTAATTTTATTGTATATCAATTTGATACCGATTAATTTTGTATTGTATAATAATTCTCATGTTACATTTTTGTATTATTGTTTTACACATTCGAAATAAATCAAATAAAAAAAAAATACCTTGAATGAAATCTCCATGTTTTCCCCACCCCACACATCCAGGCCGGGATCATAGGTGCCAAGCTCATAGAAGTATTTCTTGTCTATGGAGAAAAGGCCTCCAGCCATAACTGGACATCTGTAGGATAAAATTAAATAAATGTTAGTTGAACTAATAATAGAATGTGAATATTCAAATTGACTGTTTTAGGTACCTGATGGGATCGGAGATGCTCATGTTATTCTTCTTAATGTACTCCTCTGGTAATGCGCTCCAGCCGAACACCAAAGGCCATTTGAAAACACCTCTTTGGAAGTTGTCAACCAGCATATAACTGAGGAACAGAAGCTCCAATGTCAAAATAACATTCTCTTTAAAACAAATATCACATCATGTTAATGGCTTGAGAGATATGGCAGTGTTGAATCACCTCATGTCCTTATCACTGACAACTTCAATAACCGGACAGGGCACCTTCTTACGATCCAGGTAGATTCTCTCCAGCAGCGGCTCCAGCCAGCCCACGTTACACTCAATGTGGGAGTCGAGGAAGGTAAGGACCTCGCCTATAGTAAGGGGTTAGAAAGCAAACATCCTGGTGTAGTTAAACAAATAACCACATGTGCGACAGTGCAACCGTTACGACTCCTATCAAAAGGTTCATTGAGAGGCAGTTGCTTGCTCAAATATGTAAGTAACGTGCATAACATAGCATGTGGAAAACGTGTGTGTTTCTACTTAAGAACATGATGTGGAGTGCAATTCAGTGTGACTCATGGTATTGCTTCAATGTTTTAGTTCTGTATTTGTTGCAAGACTATCCATGAATGATCTTCTACACAGTTAAATGTGTGGAGCAAGTGCACATACTTGCAAGCCGTTTGGGTTTACAAGTTCCAAAGACTGGACCACAGACTGTCTGAATCATTGTCTCTATTTAAAATGAATTTTGCCAATGTCAACCTGACATTTCAGAAACACACAAGACCATAGATGAACGCCCAACCAGTGTTGTTCAAACTAGAAAGTGAAGATTACACTGTTAATGTGAGTTGTTTTACTACTTTTTAACTTTACACCAAATGGATGTTCATGTTGCGGATTTAAAGTTACATTATTCAAAGCCCATATGACTATCATAATCCCAGAAAGTAGTTATAATAATAATATTTCATGTTAAAAACATAATTACAATTTCAGACTTTCAAACTTGCCCTTTGATAACAAGCTTCTTCTTATCTGATTAGCTTAGTTCTAGAGCTGCAAATACACAGCCGAGATAAGGACACACTGGTTGTTCTGTTTAACATTTACAAGTCTGACCAAGTGATTCAACATATTCATGTGAGTTCTGTTACTGTCGTTATCCTTCTCTTATGTGGGACAAATCCCCTGCTACATGCACATATATATATACCACATTGAATAAGTGTATGGTTACCTTGGGCTATATCAGCTCCTGCGATCCTGGCCCTGATCAGACCCTGACGCTCCTTCAGACGAAGAATTCGCACTTTGGGAAACTGAGCCATGTACTTGTCTAGCTGCTCTCTCAGATAGTCTGCCGGAAGAAAATAAAAAAACATGAACACTGACAGCAGGAACATTTTCATATAGCTTGAAAAATGACCTAGCATTAACACAAATTACATTTCTTGTTAGAACAGCGTAGTTGTTGATTCTCTCGAAATAGCTGTGGATACTTTTACTCTGACATACTTCACATTGACATTTTAATTGACTATTTTATCTTTAATAACCACATCTCATGGATAATGCTCAAATATGTGTTGTGTAATAACAAGATAACCCAAAAACAAATCAAAAACTATTCTCCAGAACACCAGAGTTGTGATGTGTGTTTACATGTTGTTGGACTTGCATCCTGTGTGCATTCTCAAACTAAGAAATGTTTGTATTTATTCAATATTCTAAAAATAATTAAATTCAAAAATAATTATAATTACAAAGATGATGTTCACAGCAACCTTTTCATGAACACTTTTGGAGGCAGCTGCAAGAATGTTCAATACAGTCTGAATAATTAGGTTAAATTATTTGACCAATTCAAATTACTATTAATATTATACTTCCTACACATTTTGGGTTTTAAACAAACAATTGTGTCCTCTAATAATAAAAGCATAGTGCTCAGCTTGTCATTAGCAGTTTTCTCCTACGAATGCCAATTTTTGCATTAGTTTTTTTTAGTGGAGACCCACTAAATGCAACATGCCCTACCCCTGAAACAGTAAGTACATTATTACCTTTGGTGCTGAAGTCATCCACTAGAATGATCTCTTTGAGGAGGTGTGGTGGAGATCTGTTTAACACACTGTGAACAGAGCGGAGGAGTGTGGACCACACTTCATCCACAAAACAGAAAATCACACTGGTGGAAGGCAAGTCATCATGGACCAGATTCTGTGCACACCTGGAAACACAGCAAGAATAAATAATTAATCAAAAACAACAGCTTGGGGGTCAGAGCACATTGAAGCGGTGCAGAAGTAGACTCACATATCAGGCCTGGTGTCGGGGATGGCTCGGTCCACTGGGATCTTGTCGCTCAGGAAGACATTAAAATGCCCTTCGTTCCATCTCTTCTTTACCTCTATATCTTCGTTACTGGAGGCCAGTGCTGCCAGACCAAACTGACCCATTGCGTTAACATCTCTGGGAGCGTTAGTCATGTCCAGAGAGAGCATTTTGTGGACACCTGGTTTTCTGACAGCACTGGGGTTATCCTTGGAGCCCTCTCCTGCTTGGAGCTTGATTGTAGGTTTCGCTGCCTTCAGGTCAGCCTTGGTGATCGTCTTGACCCGTTTCTCCTCCTTTCCTTTGACCTCCTTGTTGACTGGTTTAGATGTTGTTTCAACAGGGTGGGCCTCTTTGTTCTTAAGCTCACTCACTTTCGCTCCAGTCTTAGTCTCAGATTTCTCCTTGACTACGTCTGTCTTTGTTTCAATTTTGTCCAAAGCTTTTTGTGCAACACCCTCTGCTTTAATGGGTCCCTTCTTTGAGGTTGGTAGTGGTCCATGTTTTGCTTCCTGAACACCTGGAGGAGCTTGGGTTATTTTAGGCACTACTAAAGGTAATGTCACTTTAGCAGAGACAACTGTTTCTCTACTTTTCTCTACTTTCTTGACATTCAAATCCAAGTTTACTGCTCTTTTATTTGCAGGAACTCCCAGCTTCGGTGTGACATTTTGTACAGCCCCTCCTTCTTTATGTTCAGAAACAACATCTTTTTGCTGGTCAATGTTGGCCATATAATTTACTTGGTGAGGTAGAGAGTTTATCTTTTTTTTGTCCTCCAAAATGGGATCTTGTTTCTTGCCTCCCTGTCTGTACCCTTTGGCTAGTTTGAGGCTTGGATTGAGTGGTCCTTTAACAGCATGTGTAACAGCAAAGTCTACCCTCTGAACTGGGTTTTTAAAACCCCTTCTGACCACCTGTGTCACCCGGGACTGTTTAAAATCTTCCCTTTCTCTGATCACTCGCTCCTTCAGCAGCTGACTGTTCACATCGTTCATTGACAAGCGAAGTACAGCCATGTCAAGCATTAGCCAAATAATAGAGGCAATGAACACAAATGCAAGTACCCTCCCACTCCCCCTTAAATATCTCCTAATCTTCATCATTTTGGGTGTTTAAAAGTGGAAATCCAGGTGAAAATGTGAAGAATGTCAAAGTATCATACTGTTAAGGCCACTTCTCAGTTGTAGGCGAGGTTTTTCTTTCTTTGGAGAAGTTAGCTGCCTGCGTGGCATGCTAGACATATGACAGTGAGTAGCAGAGGTAGTCGGTGTTGTCATATAGGAATACAGAAGTGTCTGACACCCATAGCCCAGCACAAAGATATCAAGTATAAATGTTAATTTCCCATACCGTATCGCTCTGGTCACCTTCAACCGCAGGGGGATATTACTTTAGTTTGTATCGCTTCGTCGTAACTCACAGAAACTTCACTAACGTTGTCGACTTTTTCGCTGAATCTCCACGTAACAGCTTTGAACTGACACAGTTTTGTATGAGGACGACGTGGAGACCAACTTCCACCCTGTCAGTAAACTATGATTGGACAGATTGGCAGGAAAAGTCTCCGCCGAGACGGAGCCCACAACAAGCCAGCAGGAGAGAGCTGCAAGGGTACAGGAAGTGCGTGTTAAGCCTTCAAAATAAAGCATGGAACTTGCAATCGTTGAAACATGAAGTCTATTATGGAAAAATGTGCATAGACGACCAAATCTGTTTCCAGGGGACAGTAAAAAGCACAACAAGTGATGTAAAATAAATAAATAATTTAGCTAATGTTTCTAAACAACTTATATATTAGGTCGCAGTGGCGAGCCGTGACTTTTATACCTAGGCCCTGATAGTAGGGGAGACCAGGGACAGTTGTAACCGGTTGTAACACGGGTCGGTTGTAACCATAGATTTATGGTTGTAACCATAGATTTATGGTTGTAACACTTTCCAATCACAAACAAGCTAGAGTGATGACACTCACTCTGCACATTAGTGATGGGAATTCCGGCTCTTCTTGGTGAGCCGGATCATTTGGCTCGGCTCACCAAGAAGAGCCGGCTCTTTCGGCTCCCAAACGGCTCTTCAGTTTACCACATATTATACCTTTTAATTAAATCAAATGTAGTAGCCCTGTTTTGACTAATGATTGATATGTGTACACATATATCACTTACATTATTCAATACATCCTTTGTACTGAAGTATTCAAAAGTAAAAATTACATCTTTAATATAAATGATTTGCTGTGGCCAATTGTTTTCATTGCATTTACAGAACCGTGCAACTCTCTGATACCACCCAATGAATGCATTGACTTGCTTGTAGAACCACACTACACAAAACAGATAGCAACACCTATAAAAACTATAGGTGTAATACTACTAACTGTATCGACCTATATAAACTATATAAATATAGTTTTTTTTTCAAAATACCAAAAAGATCCTGCATTTTAGCCATGCCTCATTTCGCTCTATTTGCTCTTTCCAGCGCTGTTTTTGCAGGGGGCTGATTCCGTGAGCTGCAGCTCACGCCCCCCTGCAGGAGAGGGGGAGCGTGCTCTGAGATCAGCTGCTGGGCTGTCAGAAGACGGGGAGAAAAGAGATCTCCGTCCTCCGTGTTTTATTCTTATAGAAGTAAGAAGAGAAGTAATGGGGCAGAAACCCTCATTTTTACGCAGCGGTCCAGACATAGACATCAAACGGCGACACATATTCAGTTGCCAGTTACTTTGGCATTAGGGCAGGCATATCTAGATACTTTCCAAGGTTTGACATCATGAATTGTGCTACTTTTAAAGCAAGCAACGATGTTTTCAAATATGTAATCAAAAAGCTCCTCAAAAACACTATCGAAGCAGTTCCTGCCGTTGCTACGTAGTTCAAACGGTAACAACGGACTACTTTTCTTAGCGGATGCATGTCAATTGAAATCAATACATAAAACTATTTTTTAAATCAATAAAATCCTTTTCTAAATCCATAAAAGCATTTCCATTAATATTGGGAGTCATGTCGTTACTTTGTTGAGAATTTGGCCATGTAATAAGCGGGATAATGTGCACATTGCATAATGTGCCTTCATGCCGATCTAGATCCCTCCGCAAGAATGGCTCGTTCGCGGGCGAGAGCCGGCTCCCGTCGTTCACTTAAAAGAGCCGGCTCTTTGAGCCGGCTCGTTCGCGACCGACACATCACTACTGCACATGCGCAGTTAGATGGTAAGATCGCTGAGAAAAAAAGGAGCCACGTTTGAATTTCTCGCGTAAGAAAAAGTGTGTTTCTGAGGTAAAATATTAACTAAAATTATATGATGTATTTTTTGGATACTGTCTTGAGTTCAAATGTCTCGGAATACAAACTAGTATTATTAGAACAACTGTTTTGTAAGCTACAAATATAACTAGCTAAATATGGGTCAAGCTAGCAATCAGGCAGGTTCACAGGGGGTGAAAGCAAGACTAGTGGTCCTGGGATGGTTGTAACGGGACGGTTGTAACATGGCACATTTACAATGATGGCTCATTTGCTTGAATGATCAATTGTTCATTCAAGCATACAGTTGTATTGTTGATTGGTGTGCATTGTCCCTGTAAAAATAAACAGAATAAAATACTGTACAGTAGGCCTAAAGTGTGTGTGTGTGTGTGTGTGTGTGTTTACAGTATGCCAAATGTCAGAAAGAGGGAGACAGACAGGGGAGTGCCACTTGCTCTGCTGCAGAAGGCCTCAAATGAAGTTGAGAAGGGCAAATCATTCAGGGAAGTGGCAAAGTCCCTGGATATATGCCATGTCACCCTGTACCGGTTCCATCAAAAGAGGCTGAGGTTGGAGAGTCAGGGATCACAAACACCCCCAAGAGTAGGCTACTGGACACCAAAGAAGGTGTTCTCAACAGAGCAGGAGATGCTTTTGAGAGACTACCTGATGGAGGCAGCTGATTTATATTATGGTCTCAGCTCAAATGAGGTAGGTCTACATAATTAAGGTAGAATAGGCTATCTATACAGAACAAAATACAAGTAAGTGATCAAATATATTGAGGCCTATAGTGAACAGACAAGTGAAATATTTTTCAAAAATCTACTCGAGGCTGAGAAAAAAAGATCTAACGCAAAGAAGTCTAAAGCGAAGACAAAAATCAATTTCTGCAACAAAACAAAAAACAACAAGAAGGAGAAGATGCAGGACTCATCTGATGAAGATGAGGCCCAATACTGCATTGTGTGCCTGGAGAGCTACTCCAGGTCCAAGGAGATCTGGCTGCAGTGTTGCTCCTGTAAAGCCTGGGCACACAAGAGAGGTTTCTCAATACTCAAATTTCCCCTCCTCGACTTCTATCCTCAAGACTTAGTCCCGCCCACAGGAGATGCGAGCGGAGGACTGAGGAGGGGAAGCAGCAGGCGGTTAGAGAAATTAGAACTCCTCTCCTCTGAGCGGTCATTTTAAAGAGACGTCCATTAATGATGAGGAGGCACAGCAGCACTCTGTCTGATGGACAGATGTGTTCATGACCACTTATATATTTACTTTGAATTCATTGAGAGTGCGGTATAATGAGACAATAACAGGCTACAGATGCGGACACACACACACAAATATATTTATATATTTATGTAGCCTGTATATTGTCTCATACCGCATTGTGAATTAATTAAAAGTAAATCTTTAAATCATCATGAACACAGTTCTGTCCATCAGACAGAGGGCTGCTGTGCATCCTGTCACCATTAATGGACGTCTCTTTAAAATGACCGCTCAGAGGAGAGGAGTTCTCATTTCTCTAACCGCCTGCTGCTTCCCCTCCTCTCTCCTCGGTTCCCCTCCTCTAAGACACGAGGATGGGGGTCGAGGAGGGGAATTAGAGAAATGAGAAAGGGCCTAAGACACGAGGATAGGAGTCGAGGAGGGGAATTAGAGAAATGAGAAAGGGCCTATAACACACATGCATCAACTTCACAGCGGGCGGAATTTGTCATAAAAGAGGTTTCTCAATACTCAAATTTCCCCTCCTCGACTCCTATCCTCGACTCCTATCCTCAAGACTTGGTGCCGCCCACAGGAGATGCGAGCGGAGGACTGAGGAGGGGAACCGAGTATTGAGAAACCTCTATTGTCTGCGAAAATAAAGCCCACCCATTTAGAGGGAAGATATGATTGGTCAATTGTACTGTCATTTGACATTACTCTCTCGTTGAGTTACTGTAGCTAGCCCTCTGAGAATTTACAGCAGGACCACCAATCAGTTCCTATCTTCGGCTAAAGGAGCTTCTTTCATTCAACCCTTCACATTCCAACAGAAACTGAACAGGCAGATTCAAATGATTTATTTCTTTGGAAATGTTATTTTAAATCCAATTAAATCAAGTTATTTTGGTATAAACATTATGAAAACAAAACCTTTTCCCCCATTATTTTGCTTTTCTTTTTGACACATCTTTACTCATTATGCAATTATGATAAGAAAGTAGCCCAAATCAGTATTGAGATACAGCTTTCATAATTTTCAGACACAATCATACTTACAATCTATTTTTTGGGAGAAATTAATAGCTATTAACTGTTTTGACATAAGTAATGATTTTTGAAAACGAAATACCTTTTTTTACACAATCAACACCTACTGTATTTATTTATGACTTTGTGATACCAAAGGCCTGTACTACGAAGCAGGATTTTCGCTTAGCCGGCTAACTTCAGGGAAAACTCGGGGTTTCCGGTCCTACGACGCTGGTTCTCTTTTTAGGGAGCTAGATCTCCATGGTAATTTATGCTGTGCGGCTAACCTGCTCCGGAGCAGGGGGGTATACTACGAATCTAGTTCAACCTATCCTGGATATGTTTTGAGTTATCCGGTTGACTTAATCCAAAACAAAGCCGCTCTCGCTAAACTGTCCTACAACGCTGGTTATCAACTCGTTCGCTCAAGCCAGCCATGTCCTATCTAGTTAGGTGCGCGTTCACATAAAAGGGGTGGTATCTGGAGCATTCGACCAATCACAAACATCCGTCTTTCCTGCAACGGCAGTTTAAACTGTATTTCCTCCGCACACTGAGCTCTGATTGGTCAGCAGGCGTGGTGCTTTCGCTGAGTTAATCTCTTATCCTGGAACCTATCCTGCTTCGGAGCACAGACTAGGTTCCAGGATAAGTCACCATGGAGATCTAGCCCGCTAAAAAGTGAACCAGCTTCGTAGTACCGGAAATCCCAGAAGTTATCTTGCTAAATGAAAATCCTGCTTTGTAGTATACCCCCCAGGTTAGGTTGCAGGCTAAGAGATCAACTCAGTGAAAGCACCACGCCTGCTGACCAATCAGAGCTCAGTGTGCGAAGTTTAAAGCGATCAAGTCATATTACAGGAGAAAGGAAATACAGAAAAACTGGCGTTGCAGGAAAGACGGCCGGCAAAAATCACCGACTGTGTGAACGTAAACATTAATAGAATATCACCTCCCATCTTCAGAGCAATCTGACTATTATAACATTAGCGTTAAGAAAGCTTACTTAAATATCTGCCACAACATAAGTAACCGGATCAAAGTAACAGTACCAGAGCCATATAATAGAAGAGTTACGACATCTCCGTTCACTCCAATGGACCAGTTTTTTACAG